TATTAGGGATCATATATTATTTTGAATATAAATTGCAATAGTGAAGCTGACAATTTTGCATATCAAATTAGCTTATTTTATGTTGATGATTTGTAATCCACCAACTTTCAAAATAAAAATTTAAGTCGATTAGAAAGCCTTCATTTATCTACCTGAAACTTGGACCACCCCGGGCCGCACCCAGCAAACCCGTTCAGGAACTGTCAATCTGCTATCTTGAATCTTCATCGGCCAAACATCATCTACACGGATCGATGACGTGGCATTCAGAAATTGAAATTCCCGCTCAAAATTTTGTATCGCATTCACACCCAATTGATTTACCTCTTCACACCTTGGCGCTCTTTCTTACCTCTCTAGCGCGCACAATCTCCCTCTCCCAACTGTCCCTGTTTGCGAAACCCTAAGCCTAACAGTAGGTGAAGCCGCGCTTCTCAACCTTTGCTTCCGATCGAATTCCTTCTGAGTCCTCATACTCCTGTGTTATTTTTGTAGTTTCAGCCATGAAGGTGGATCGTTCGAAGTCTGGCGATGCGCTCAAGTCGGAAAACCGGTGATTAGAGCTCGATCTCCTTCTATTTCTCACGCATTTTTCTAGATTCGGCTGGATCGCTTTAGGAATGTTGCTCAGAAATCTTTTTGTTTTTATTTATTGTTCTTGAAGCCTAGCGGCAAAGGCTCCGGAGAAGCAGAAAAAAGGTAACCGAAAAACTAAAGATCCCAACAAGCCGAAGCGTCCTCCTACCGCGTTTTTTGTCTTCATGTAAGCGAATTGTTTCATCGGCCCTATCAAATTTTCTTTCCATCTTTATCGTTCTTGAACTCCTATGTTTCTTTCTGTCCATCATACAGGGAGCAATTCCGGAAGGAGTTCAAGGAGAAGAACCCTAACAACAAACTGGTCTCAGTGGTTGGTATCAATTATCTACTCCTGCAAATCAAAGCTCTAGCGCCATCTAAAGTCAAATATTCTCTGTTTTTTATTAGCCGTTTTGATTTGATCTTAGGTTGGAAAAGCCGGCGGCGCTAAATGGAAATCTATGTCCGATTCTGTAAGCGATTCCATATCTGCATCTTATTTGTTCCTTTTATCATGCCTTTTCTTGTTCTGTCATGTTAATTATTTGTAGTTTTCTTTTCTAAAATCTTCTAAATTTAGGAGAAAGCTCCATATGTAGCCAAAGCTGATAAACTGAAGGATGAGTATTTGAAGAAGATGCGCTCTTATAATGGAGACAAGAAAAGCGCGGCAGATGATGAATCGTCAGACAAATCCAAGTCCGAGATCAGCGAAGTTGCTGGAAGCGATGAGGTGCGTTTCGTCATTTTGAGATTATATAAAAATTTAAAATTTCAATTTTACAGATGCTCAACTGCAAAAATGTTCTTTTGAGATTATATAAAAATTTAAAATTTCAATTTTGCAGATGCTCAACTGCAAAAATGTTCTTCATTGTTGCTATTTTATATATTTGATTATTTTTTATGCATGTTTGTAGGAGGAAGACGATGATTAGGGTTTGAAGCTGTGGAAGTTATTGTGGTGTTAGTACTAGTCTATTGCAAAGGAATTTATATTGCATCGGAATTATATATCTCCATTAAAAGTTTTTCTCTTTGTTTTTATTTCATGTTTTTGATGTTTACAGTGTAATTTTCGTGCCCATATATTGTTGACTCAATTGGTTTTGTTCGTAATCTGACTTGTTTGTCAAAATATACTAGTTGCATTAATGTTGATAGTAATTGTGTCATATACTTGTTTGGTTTAGATATATCGATTTTATTTATTTGTTGGCTTGTAATTGTTTAGTCAATTTAATTTTTGAAGTTATATTTTTTTTTTATGAATTGAAACATTTTTAAAATCTACATTTTAATAATTTTTGTAATAAATGCTTTATGTGAATAGAAAATATTATATCAGGACTCCCAATGCAGTTTGCGTTCGGAGTTTAATGTTAAGACGCCAAGCATCAAGTAGGGCTCCATTGTAACATACCAGTGTTAAAATAGGTGGAGTCGACGTTAGACACTCCACTTTTGAATTCCGAATGCATTTGAAGTCATGATGTAATATTTTTTCCTATGTGAAAGAATATTATCCTTAGTGTTCTGAGATTTTGTTTTGTGAGATTGATTAGGAAAATTTGGCCTTTATCTTGTAATAATAGAAATTGACTAAATATTTGTTTTCATGATTTTTTTTTTAATTTGGAGAATTATGATTGAAGGTTATTTGAGGGCTGTCAAAAAAGCTCGTTGTTTGCGAACTGTTCGTGTTTGGTTTGTTAATGAGTTCGTATTGGATTCGTTTGATAAGTAAACAAGACGAATGTGAATAAATTTTTTTGTTCTTTTAGTTAAACAAACCAACCATGAACAGTGATGCGTTCGTTCGTGTTAGAATCGTTATTGTTCAAAATATAAAATAATTTAAAATAATTTTATATAAAATTTTTTTTATATTTTACAAAATTTAATTTTATAAATTATAATATATAATAAAATAATAATAATAATATATTAATATTCTATATTAGTAATATACTAATATAGATATTATATATTTATATAATATAAGTTATATAATTAATATAATATATTATTTATATATATTAATATTAGGGATCTTAAACTTGCTCGTGTTCGGCTCGTTTGTTAAGAAATGAACACGAATATTGACTTTACGAACAATTTCGAATAAAGTTTATTTCAAACAAATTAATAGAAATGAACACGAATATTGACTTTACGAACAATTTTGAATAAAGTTTATTTCAAACAAATTAAATTTCAAACGAACCGAACATGAACACAAGTTCTGTTCGTTCGTGTTTGGTTCGTTTACACCCCTATTTATTTGAGGATGAATTAGCTTTATTATTTGTATAATATTTGTTGGATTTCAACTTAAATGAAATTTGATTTAAATAAAATTTTATTTAAGTTTAAAGTATGTTTTTTAGGAAGGTTCAAATATAATTTGAATATATTTTTTGTTTTTTTAAATAAGAACTGAATAAGATTTAAATTAGGCTTCGAATAAATTTATTTATATACAAAATAATTAACAATTTTTTATATATCTAAAAAAAAATTTTGGTTTTTATATTTATATTAGCGAAAATATTCCTCACAAAAAAATGGAATGTACCCTTTTTAAATAAACGTAAGTACATATAAATCTAAGTTTAAGTTTAGGTTTTAATAATGTAAATATATAGAAATTGTATGGTATGCATGTAAATATTTCTTTTAAATATTTCTTGAATTTGATTTGATTAAGCTTTTAACTTATTTGAAAAAGGCTAAAATTTACAAATAATTGAAGAAAAAAATTGAATAAGGCTTTAGAAATTCATATAAATATTAAAATATTGTTTGAGTAGGATTCTCGTATGGTATTAATAGTTTGAATAAGATGTTTATGAATTTTAAATAATGCTTTTAAACATTAAATAAAAAAAGGTTGATGTAATCAAAATATTTGTTATAAGGAAAATTCATGGATATAAAATTATTTAAATTAAAAAATAATAACTATAAATTTCATACAAAAAAAGGTGCATTCAAAATGGTTAATGATTAGCATATTGTAGTTTAGATGTGTCTTAATAAGATTAGATTCTGATTTTGATAGTTATAATACATTGAACATAAATGTTTATTATATTTAGAGCTAAATAAATACAGATTATGAAAAGAATTAATTGCGCCTCGTTTACAAAACTAAATGTATATTTAAATTATATATTGTGTATTTGATCCAAAAATTAAATAAATTGCTTTATGCTTAAACTGATTTTAAAATTTTTTTATTTGTTTATAAATTTATGTATTTATATTGGTGTAAAATGAATTTATATGTAATATTTTTTTTTTGTAAAATCATGCACCATTAGGTGTCTTTTTTAATCTTTTTTATAAATGAGGGAAATGACATGTTATATTAAATTCATCTCTACATGTTGCAAGTAAGTCAATGCACTTATTAGTTTATATGTATAAGTGTTACATAAATTTTTATTAAAACATTTCATGATTTTTTTTTTTCATAATGTACTTGAGATTTTAATCTTGTTGACATTCCTCTATTTCTAAAAAACTTTCGGCCGCGCTTATTTATTGTGGTGCGGCTTGAAAACACAATTAAGATTGTTTGCTTAATGTGGTGCAGCTGCAATTTTGGGAAAGACAAGAAACGTGGGTTGTGGGTTTGACCTTATTGCCTGCGTTTCTTTGCTATTCATTTACTGTCATACTTCACATAAAGCTCTCGCGATTGCTTTCGTCCCCACTCTCCCCTCTCTTGTCTCTCGAATTTTTCCCTAAATTAGATCTCTCGATTCTCTTTGATCCGCGGTTTGAGTTTTTTTTCCTTCATATTCTCCTCTCCCTTTCCCCTTTTTTCTTCAACTGGTTGGTGATTTTTGCAGCGGCCTTGTCTCTCGATCCTCTTGGATCATTGGATCTCTGTTGCCACCATGGTATTCTCTATGACCTTCTATTAAGGCATTTTGATTTAGGGCTGAAAATTTCAGTTCTTTGTTGTGCTTTGTTGTTTTTAGTTTGTTGTGTTGTGATGTGGAATTTGGGTGGATTTTAGTTGATGGATTTGGGTTGTTGGGTTGTGTTGTTGGATTTTACAAATTTATTAGGCTCTCTGTTATATTTTCGGTTTGATTGCCTTTGTTCCCTATTTGCTATCCGTTTGATAAATTTGGATGGTTGTGCTGTGATGTGTGTTGTTGCTTCCAAATTTGGCGGTGGTCGTGGATGCACATGGAAATTAATTAAATCCAAATGTGTTTTCTGTGGTTGTACTATACTGACCTAGTTGGTCACAGTAGTGATTTTGCGGTGGTTTCCCTAAATGATGGAATTTGTGTTGTGCTTTGGAAGTGATGATGTGTGGTGCTGATGTGAGGGTGTGTGGTGTGGAGGTGATGGGTAGGCAGTGGTGTGGAGATAGTGGTGTGGTGTAGAGGTGTTGTGTGTTGTGGAGGTGATGATGTCACGTGTGTGGATTTTTTGGTATGTTGTATGAAGGTGGTGTTGTAGGGTTTAGAGTTTGGTGTGGTTGAGACGATGTGTGGTGTGAAGGTGGTGGTGTGTGGTTGTGGAGGTGGCGGTGATGTCGATATAGGTAGTGGTGTGGTGTAGGGTGTTGTGTATTTTGGAGGTGGTGGTGTCCCGTGTGTGGATTTGTCAGTATGTGGTATGGAGGTGGTGTTATAAGGTTTATGGTTTTGTGTGGTTGTGGTGGTGTGTGGTGTGGAAATGGTGGTGTGTGATTGTGGAGGTGATGATGGTGTCGATACTGTTAATATTGTGGCATTCTTATTTGACAATATTGTGGTATTTCTGTTTTTATTAATTAGTTTTTTCATGCTAGTAATATAATGGTCAAGACCAAAGAAGTTGGTTCATCCGCGATGTGGGACAAAAAATAAAAATATTATTTTGCGTCCTTTGCCTCAAGAAGGTTGATCTAGGAAATAGACCTACAATATATTTCAACAAAAAAGGGTGGCAAAATATTATCAAAAAATTCAAGAAAAGTACAAACAAAGAGTATGATATGATGCAATTAAAAAACCAATGGAATCAACTCAAGAAAGATTAACAAATCTGGAAGGAATTGAAGTGAGAGTCAACAGGCTTGAGTTGAGATCTGATGAAGCAAACCATTGATGGTTTTAAGGAGTGGTGGGCAGAGAGAATTACGGTAAACAATTTTGAAATGTCCTTAAATTTGGTCAAATATTAATTTATTTTTAAATTGAACTACATATTATATGAATTTGTAGGTGGTGCTTGCTGTGAAAAAAATTAAATGCAGTGGAATCGATCCTGAGTTGGAGGAAAAGTTGAATCATATGTTTGGGGGTGTCGTGGTAATGAGTAACAATGCATGTGCCCAAATGAGACGAGGCATTCCTGAAAATTTGGAAGCGAAAAAATCAGGTGATCCCCTTGAAGGCCCGACTCGAGCCTCCATGAAGTGGAGTTCATGAGCCATTAGTGTCTGCGGGTTGCAAATAAAAATAAAATGATAGCTGCTTTCCTTAGAAGCCAAAATATCGCTGCTGTCGGCTTCATGGAGGAATGAACCCAGCACATCTCAAGCAAACTCTGTTGACCAGGTTCTGCAACTTCTAAATGTAACTCTAGAAATTTCTAAGAACTTTCCACAGTATTTTTTTTAATTGAGTTGCTTGAAGATTTGACTCAGAGTGATTTTTTCATCATGATGCTCGATGACCATAAGGTAGCATATCTATAATATTTTAATGAACGCTAAAACATTTGATAGAATTTTTTTTGTTTGCAATCGCATGGGGCATTTATATTTGTTTATTATTTTTCATTTTTGCTTTAGATATTTCAACTACTTAGGACATGGCTTTTATGCTTATTCATTGATACTTATATGTTTATTGTGTCGTTTGTACCTTATATGATTATAGCTAATTCATTGATGCTTATGTTTTAGCCACTTAGATACTAAAATATATGGATGAGACCAGAGAAAGGTGTAGAAGGAGAGTTGCAGTAGTTGTATGTTTGATGTACAAATATTATAACTCATATATAGAGTACTCCCCTTACATGACATCTTCATATGCTGGGGACAAATGGGTTGGGGAGT